ATTAATGTTTCTGTTAAATTATTATTTTATAAATTAATGTTTCTGTTCAGTGCCTGAGACGACTTCTGTTGTGACTTGGAGCTTCAGAAATAAACTGAACACGTCTGAGTGACCTCTGACCTTTGTAGTCCTGATGATGTTGGTGCACAAGGACTAAACAAGTCGCACATACCTGGACAGGTGTGTGTGTTTGTGTGCGTGCGTGCACGCTGCCCACCTCTCTTGTCGTCGGCCTCAGCTTTGGGCTTGACGAGGTCCACCTGTCGTCCGGTGATGCCGAGCGTGGCCAAGTCGATGACCCCGGTCTGTGCCCCGTCTCCCAGGTGACCCTGGTCCCCCATGTTGGCTTTGGCCTTGTTGGACTTCAGCATGAAGTCTCTGAGCGCCAGCAGCTTGTCCTCCTCTGCCTCCGTCATGCCCTGAACACCCAACAGGAAACATGAAGTTGGGCACAACGAGCAGAACCCGTCCCCACCCAGGACTCTGGACCCAGAGGACTGACCTGAGACAGCAGTTTCTTCAGGAGCTGAGCAACGGCCGGGTCGTCGGGAGTCGGACACTCGGGGATGGAGCCGGCCCTCTTCTTCTGCCGCAGCAGCAGGTGTCTGAAGAGGCTGCCGATGTCTTTGGAGCGCAGCGCGTAGTCAAAGATGGAGCGGCTCACCGGCTCCTTCAGGACGCTCAGCAGGACCAGCTCCTTATCGATCTGAGGGGATGGAGCGGCGCTGAAGACGGGTGAGGACGGAAGGGGTGAGGACCATGAAGGTGAGCACCTACCTGGATGATGGGCTGCGTGACAAACGGGTTCAGGTGGGGCATCAGCTTGCAGTAGATGTCGGCCACGTTCAGGTTCTGTGCGACCACCGTGATGAAGCCCACGGCCCCGTAACGGATCCACAGGTTGGGGTGGCACAGGAACGGAGCTACGGCAAGCACAGAGGGACACATGAACCACAGGGGATCGTTCAGGATTCAGCCTCCGCGCCTCACGGTGGAAGACGTGTGAGCTCACCGATGTCTCCGACGAACTCGTAGATGTGAGGCTTCTGCAGCAGCCCCAGCTGGCACATGCAGGTGAGAGCGTTCAGAGCTTTGTAGATGACGAACTCCTCGGTGTCGCTCAGCCCCTGCTGCAGGAGGGGCTTCAAGATGGAGGAGCTCTGCCAGCCCACGTACGCAGCCACGCCTTCAACACAAACACCGTCACACCGCTGCTTGAGCCCGAGAGGCGACACGGAGCGCGGGGCGGCTTCTTACCCACGATGCTGTCGAAGAAGGCGCCCCGCAGGTGCCAGTCGTTCTTATCGTTCAGGAAGGTGATCATGTGGGAGAGCAGCACGTCGTTGGCCTTCTGCCGGCCGAAGAACACGCAGAGACGCGTGATGCCGTTCTCCATCAGGGACTGTTTGACGATGTTCTCAGAGTCGCTCAGCAGCGTCACCACCTTCTGCTGCACCATCTCGTGCAGCGCCTGCAGCTCTGAGGGAACAACAGTAAAGAAGCTCTGCAGAACCACCCAGCAGAACTCTGCTCTGAACCAAGACACGGTTCTGTTCAGAGATCCCACAGGAAAACTCCTCACTGCAAACACAACTCATCAAACGGTTTCATTCTGACTTTGCTCTGGTAGATTTCCAGATGTTTTGACATTTTATTCTGAAATGTGGCTCCACACTCAGAGGTTGAGTCACATGACTGCCCTCCATCAGCTGCAGGGAACCAGGAGCAGACGGAGGAGGCTGAGCTCCATGAAGATAGAACTCAGGATTCAAACTCACCAAACTTCTTCAGGAGCGAGAAGTTTACCATTTCCTCCTGACCTGAGTGCTGCTCTCAACCAACCTGAGCTGAAACACGTCCCACCACACCACGGAGTCAGAGCTGTCCGTACCGGAGTCGTAGTTCTCGTTGGGGTGGTTGGTTTCCTCGGCATCTTCTCCGCTCAGGTCCTGCTCCGTGTTCACGTTGTTCTCCTGGACCAGCTCCAGGAAGCGCAGCGCGCTCTCTGCCAGGTGGGCGATGTTCTCTGAGCATCAACACAAAGATGTGAGGTGAGCAGCAGCTGATGAGACGAGGTCAGAACAGGTCCCACACTTCCTGACCTGCGTACGCCAGCCTGACGATGGTGGCGTCGTCCTGAGCCAGGTGGGCGATGCCCGGCAAGATGTACTCTGGGTAGATGTTCACGTCGTTCCTTGGCACCTCCTTCACCAGCGCCAGCACCTTGGTCAGAGTGCGGACGGCCTGCGCACGCACGCGGGGCACGGGGTCGTTGCAGAAGTGCAGCAGGTACGGCGTGATGCGGTCCAGCAGGATGTCCACGCCGAGTCGCGGAGCCAGGTGGAGGACGAGCTCCAACGCTGCCAGCTTGGAGTCACAGGAGTGCAGCGTCTGCAGACAGGAAGTGATGACAGACACCAGCACCACCAGGCCCTGCTCCTCCCTGGAGCTCAGCACGTCATCGTCCTCCTCCTGAGATGAAGAGGCGGAGCCTGAGGAGAGATGGGCTGTCAGTCAACACTGAGGAGGAGCTTTACATGATTTTCATTCTCCCATGAGGTCTGATTTAAATGTTCCCTCTACGGTTCCCCGGGTGTCAGAAGCTCCGCCTCACCTCCCCGCAGGTTGTGCAGAATGTTGTCGAGGTCTTTGCGGATGACCAGCACCCGCTCGTCCGCAGACTGGAAGGTCTCCTTGGCGAACTGAGCCATGTACGGCTGCAGGAAGGTGTAGAAGATGCTGGGGAAGGCTTTCCCTCTCTGCTGCTTAAGATACTCCTCTGCAGTCAGACGCTTCTCAGGCTCCCGCTGAACCATCTGAGCCACCTGAGGAAAACCAGAGAGCTCAGAGCCTCACAAACGTTGAAACACCTGATCACTAGTCCTCAGCAAACACCAGAGATCTGTTTTTATAAACCTGAGGGTTACCAGCTCTCTGATGCTGCGGTCCTCGATCTTCAGCAGGACCTGCTCCGCCTGGAAGTGACCTTTACGATACGCCAGCAGCTGGGACAGATCGAAGAGAGGAACGCCCTCCGTGAACAACTCTGCGATCACACAGCCTGGAAACACAAACGCCGAGTCAGCATGTCGTGTTCTCATTCTTTGAATCAAGAACTAATGACCAGATTTATAAACAGTCCTATGGGCTCAAATAAACTCTTACTGAGACCTAACTCTGCCCAACATGTTTGTCTCAGGCTCTGGGTCCCCTCCAGGTGAGTCTGTACCTGCAGAGAAGATGTCCATGGCCTGCCGGAGCTCTCCTCTGCTCCTCTGGTTGTTATTGGTCAGGTCCACCAGCGGCGTGTTCTGGTCGCTCTCCGTGGTGAACATGCTTCCGTCCACGAACCTCTCGGGGGCGATGTAGCACGTGCGGCGCCGCGACGTGTCAAAAAAGTAGTTGAAGTCTGCGGGATTGTCCTCGGGCAGGTAGGTGGGCTTGAAGCTAGCGAAGTCGGTGAGCAGGACCCAGTTCCAGCTGGTCACCATCACATTCTCCGTCTTGATGTCTCCGTGGCGGACGCCGGCCTTGTGAGCCTGGTCCACGGCATTGAGGATCTGGAAGGCAATCCAGCGCTTCTCCACGTTGTTGAGGAAGGGGCGCGTGCTGATGCGGTCGTACAGGTTGTCCCGGACGTACTGCCGGAAGAGGATGGCAGCTTTCTCCGTCAAGGAGGTTTTCTGGAAGGGCAGGCAGTTCTGGCAGGAGTGCAGCCGGATCTTCAGCTCCTCCAGCTCCTGCTTGTAGGCGGTCAGCGGCAGCGACGGGTCCTGGATGGCGAAGACCTTCACCACCACCAGGCCCTCCCGGTGTTTGGCCCGGGCCACCTTGAAGAAGCGAGTGCTGCCCAGACTTTTATCATACTCGTGGTCGTGGATGTCCGAGAAGTAGCTGTCCACAGAGAGGATCTGAGAGGGGGCGATGCCCGCCAGCTGGTTCCCCATCACGCCTCAGAACGTCTGAGAAAACCAAAAACCAAAGTCACAAATCTCCAAGAACTGCTGATGGACTAGTTTTAAGAATAAGGTTTAAAACTAGTCTTTATTTATATCTTTTAGATTCTGTTCTGTAAAGCCCCCTATGAAGCTTCAGCTACACAACAGACACCTGCAGTAGATCTACGGTCGTCGTCTGAGCTCAAATGTTCTCATTCGTGTATAAAAGAATACAAATCGTTGTGAAGTCGTGTCAGCTGGACTTTGTAAGCTCAGAGTTTCCTGCTGAAAATGGTGGAAACTCCCTTTAATGGTAGATTTGAACCAGAAGGATGTTTCCTCTGCTACAAAGAACAAGACTAAATAAATTAGAAGATCTGGACCTTTTCTTCTAGCATTTTATTCAGATTATCTTTGTTTATCACAGAAGAGGTGAGGAAAAAAGCTGATGGGAAACTGGCTTGCTGTTTCAAGTTCAACAATTTTTAACTAATTTCAGTTAAAATTGTAAACACTTAGTATCGTTAAATCTAAGATTAAATAAAATACAGATTAGATTATAATTTTGGCAGTAAAAATACAACTTCGCTGCTTTTACCAGGCGTGCTGATCACTTGACAGACCAGGTCCAGAAAACACTTCATAATAAAAATGTTGGTTTTCCACACCGAGATGTCCCGCTGGGTGGACAAACAAGATGTGACGCAACCACCATTTCTCACGGCTAACCCTTCAAAACACTGAAAACCATGAGACAAATCCAACACCCCACCGATGTAACGTTCACGGACTGCAGATGTAACGTTCACGGGCTGCTGTTACCTAGCCGCTAACAGCTGCGGTTCCGTCGAGCGGCAGCTAACAGTGTTAGCTCAACACCGTCGAACTTTAACCACTGGGTCCGTCCAACGTTCCTCTTGTCCGGTCCGTCACTGTTAGAATCCACACAACTATTAGCCTGACTTCAGTAAACAACAAGCTAACAGCGGCTTCAGCTGTTGTTATGAATCCGGGTCACAGACACCGGAAGCGCAGTAAAATAAAAAACACTTCCGGCGAGTTAGAGCTGACTGTTTTATTTTGAAGCGTTTTCCGGAAGTGTTGTGACGCCCTACGCTAATGAAGCTAACATGGTGGACTCTGTTCTCTGCTGGAGGAAAGCTCCTCGGTGGGATTTTGCGGAAGATGCTGAAGAAACGGAAGCTGCTGGTAAGACTAACACATTTGGACTTTGTTGCTAGAACGGTACCGGACTAAAAGCCCGAACCGGGCTGGGTTCTGATTAAACTGACGGTTTTCAGCGACGAAAGCTCCGGCGGCGGCCGTGTGTTTGACTAGTTCCTGCCCGAAGTTGAGCTCACGGTGTCGCCTGTTAGCCCGCTGCTGACACCGGGGAGGAGAAGACGGTACCGGTAGTGGTGAGCTGGACCTTCGTGCTGGGTGACGGGGCGGGAAGGTGCTTCTCGGGCGGTGTTTTCACTGCTTGTCCTTGTTTTGTGTCATTGAAGCGGACCGAGGGTCCCACTTTGGGCGAGCTAACGAGCTAACCGATGCTAACAAGTCTGTAAAGATGCTGCAGGTTTCAAGTTGCAGCCCGAGGCCCCGCCCCCATCAGGTGAGCCAGGTGTTTCCGTGGGGAGAAGGGATCACGTTACATCGTGGCTTCGTCAGAACGCGTGATCTGTCACGGTTCTGTACAAACTGAGCAAAATAAAAGCATGTTCTTTTAATTCAACCTTTATTTCTACAGGTTAGTGTCCCTGAGCCTCGAGGACTCATTTACAAGAGACACCTGGTTTAACAAAGAACACGGTTGAGCTTCAGACAACAGACAATCCTATAAAAGCATATAAAATGAAAAGTTAATGGAAGAAATTAAATGCACATGAAACAAAAACAGCTACATTATAAAGTGATGTAGAATATTAAAAAACAGGAACACGTCTGCGTTGGTGTTGCCATGAACTTAACAGTTGTTTAAGTCACTCCGAGAGGTCAAAGGTCGAGAGCTTCAGATCTTTTTACAAGGTGTTCCAGGAAACGGGAGCGGAGTAGATGGACCTTTTTGACAAGTTCTGTGTGCACTGACAGCTAATGATGTCTAACGTATGTTTTTACGTTGTTTTTTTACACAAACTTAAGTTTTAATTTTCTACATTCTCCTTATAATCTAGCTGTTTTTGTTACCTTTTTTTTGCATCTTATTTGTATAAAAAAAAAAAATCTGTATGCCTTTTTATAACTGTCTATTGTTGTCATCACTCTTTGTTTAATCAGGTCTCTTGTAACTGAGTCCTCGAGGCTCAATGGGATTAACCTGTAGAAATAAAGGTGGAATGAACAACAAGTAAACCGTTGAACAACATCACTTCAGCAATGCTGCAAATGAGCACTTACCTGGTTGTAAAGCAGGTTGTGACCCACCAATGAACAACACAACATGAAAACATAAAGAAGTGATGATGTGTGTGTGAACAGTAAAGATGAGTATTTCTTTATTTTGACACAGATTGTTGCATCTTTGTGATTCAGACAGCGTCTTTATTTAATCAGTTTTATTCCTAACCAAGCTTTTGATGGACGTGTGTCACCTGAGACTCAAAGTGAGCCCGGATCAGGTTGATGAGCTCGTACTCTGGGGATCATAACGTCTCTGTCCCGGTCCAAACCCAGCTTTAATTTCACAGAATCCAAACAGGAAGTGATGAGAAATATATGAGGCGGCTGTGGCTGAGTGGTTAGAGCAGTCTTCCTCCAATGGGAGAGCTGGGGGTTCCATTCCACCACTATCCAGTCACATGCTGAAGTGTCCCTGGGCAAGACACTGAACCCCTCGTTGCCTCCGATGTGTGTCCCATCAGAGATCTAGTATAGAGCTGTGTGAATGAGTAAAGGAGGGCACAGATTATGTTGTAAAGAGCTTTGAGTCTCACTAAGATAGAAAGGGACTATAAGTACAGTCCATTTACCACATGAGAGTGAATGAATGAGAAATTAAATTTAACTCTTGGTTTTATGTTATTAAAGCACATTTCGATCGGTAAATGATCAAGATGGAAGCCATGGTTTATTCCTTTATTTCTAAAGTGTATTTTCTTCCACCGTTTACAGAGTTGAATCTTTTAGTCCCAGTGAAGCCAAGGATTGATGTTTGGTGTGGATTATCACAGGCCTCACCTTGTTGTTTACTTCAGGTGTTATTTATGATCCTAACGTGAGAATCTGTGCGAACAGACATGTTGCTAATCTCTGATCGCAGGTTGTTCCTCTGAAAACACATGCTGCACATTCGAATCAATAAATCTGTGTGTGTGTGTGTGTGTGTGTGTGTGTGTGTGTGCGTGCGTGTGTGTGTGTGCGTGCGTGCGTGCGTGTTGACTGAAGGTGGTGGTTGTCTTGCTGGTCAAAAGTTTGGAGGCAGTTTAGCAACAATACGATCTTTTCTTGAAGAACGGGCCGGAGGATGTGAGTAAAGGCTCCCACAGACTCGGGCGGACCTCAGTCCGTGGAGGTCCGTGTGTACTGGATTAGAGTCGAAGTGGACGCCTGCAGGACATTTTCTTGCAACGATCAATGTTTACGACTGCGTATTCGGTGTCGCACAATAAACTGCCTGGTGACAGACTGTTTTGTTTGTGACACCGATGTATTAAATTTCTCTTCGTCGTCCTGATCGGGTTTAATGGGTTTGTCTTGTTTTTTTCCCAAGAGTCAAATGATCTCTTCTTCCTCCTCCGTTGACTCCATGACTGAAATGGTGAGAAATGAAGGAATTTGTCACGAGCTAATTAAAGTCAGGTCCAGCGTGGCTGCCGGAGGGTCTGGAGATTTCCTGGTGGGCTGGTCTGATGTGTGGGCTGCAGGACCAGCGCTCCATGTTTTTAATTTTTAATGTTTATTTTTGGAACTTGTTATTAACGACATATAACAGAACACCGCTGCCGCTTGCTGCCAGCTCTTTTTTCTTTCTTTCTTTTGTGACCTGTCAATCAATCCAGTAGGCGTGTCAACAAATGACCAATCGGAGACCTCAGTTTGTCCTGAAGGTAAACGCCCCTTGCCTGCAGAGCTGGTCTGCAGCCGCTCTGGGTGGACGCTCGAGTATGAAGTGTGAACCGTCTGTGGACAGAGCGCACAGTTTCCATGTGGACTGAGGACCACACGAGTCTGGGAGCCTTTAGGATGAGATCTGAAGTCCACACGCAGCACTACACTGTGTTGTCGTCGGTGGAGGTGCTCCGTGCAGTTCGACGAGCCGTGCACACACTGCGTGTTCCAAGCGCCGACACGTCTGGCTGGTCACAGACCCTCAGAGTTTAACGGATCTGCATCAGTCATTTGTTTAAGTCTCCTGCAGACGGGACTCCCACACCTGAGGGGTCGAAGCCAACCCGCCCCCGTGCTCCTTGGTGCCACGTAGTGGCGTAATGACAGACAAAAGGGTCAGAGAGATGACTTCTCTTCTGTAGGTCTGTCAGATGTTCAGAAGATCCTGTTTGACCCCATTAGTGCGACAGAATCATCTGATGATCTAACAGTTCCTCGCAGAAGAGCTGACCTTACTGGGACCTAGTGTTCATCTGTGCAGAGAAGCAGGTACCTGTTGAACTCCCTCATTAACCGGAGCGTTGGTGTTCAGGTCGAGTCTGTCCCACATCACACTCGGCTGCTGTTGGAAGAAGCTGATTGAATTAAAGGATTGTCGCCTCCTGCCCGGTGGAGACGAACTCCTCTGAGGAGCCGACGTTAAACGCCGTCTTTGTGCCAGACCTTGACACCGCACCAGATAAACCTGTTGTTGCAGCTGCAGATCCATGACCTCATTTCAGCTGAAACGCTGTTCTTCATCCGTTAAACGTCAGAAACCGTCTCTGTTTGTGTGTCGGCACCACTCTGGCCCGTCTTGTGAGTTTAGGAGCGTTTCATACCTGAATGAGGTCAGAGGTCAAGTTCAAGAACTGAAACAGAGAAACATCAGCAAGACGTTCAGAAGCTCTGGAGAACTGTTGATCCAGAACACTTTAACAGATTCCAGAGAAGTTCTGCGTCATTAGAAGTGAAACCTAAAGACCTGAGGACCGGATCAACCACCGCGTCACTTCAGGCCTCACATACTTCAGCTTCAGGAGGAAACTTTAATGAAGGCAGTCATTAAGAGATTCTTTGTTTTGTGTTTGTAGCTTTTGTTTAAGCTCAGCGGAATCCTCCAGCTGGACTGTAAGAAGCCAGCTGATTGGCCGTGTAAACAAAGGTACGGCTGTGAGGAGGTGCAGCAGGGAGGAGGTGTGATTGTTTGACTCCTCAGGATTTGCTGACGGTGTCAGCTCAAAGACCCGTGTTGTATCCGGACTCGTCCTTCATGTTTCTCTGCTCCCGTCACGTCGAGGCATTTTGAAGCCGTCCGTCCCAGAATGTTTGACTTTGGTTCGTTAGTCCGGTGCAAGAAACAAAGTCCAGATGAAGGTCTGCAGCAGGAGGAACTGGAGGCAAGTACCCTGAACTTTACTGCTGACCATCAACCTTTTGTACAGCTGCCACCAGAAACTACCGCAGGACTGAAGCTTTTAAAGGAATCTGCTGTTTAATCTGTGAACGACTCTCTGCTACTACCACACCAGCCTTTAGCTCCAGATCTGTCAAGCTGACGGACAGCAGCTGATGGTTCATGAAAGTCCACTCTGTGGTTCATGAGATATTTTGCTAACAGGGACACGGGCAGAAACCTGATGATGTGGCAGCTTAAAAACAAAGACCGACTTCAATCGCTTTTGGACTGTAACAGTGCGGCGACAGCAGATGTTCAGAGAACAATCAGGTTCATTGTTCTTCAGAGGAACACACCCACATTCTGATCCATTTAACCAAGAACATTCAGAACACACGTTCTCTACTAGAACCTTTCTGTAGAACGTCTCCTCCTCTGAAGAGAACAAACAATCATGGGTCAGAGATAAGGTCTGAAGTGACTCGTTCACGAGTCGACAGAAGGTTCCAACAGATTTTAAGTCCTCGGGTCAAACCAGACTTCAGACGGAGACTTCACAAACCTGGACCTGGTTCTGGTTCTCCTCTTTGGACCTGGTTCTGGTTTTGGATAAAACCGTTTCTGTAAAAGAATAGAAACAAATCATAATTTTCTGCCACTTCTTCTGTGCAGCTTGGCCCGGTACGTAGAGAGGTCATCGTCCGGTCGGTTCTGATAGACTCGGGTTCTGTTCAGGTTGAAGTTGGACCTGTGGCTCGGTGGTTAAAAGTCCAACTGGTGGGATTCCTCTGGTTCATCAAACTGTAAACATTGAACGGAGCTGTAAAATACCAGGATCTGTTCTGCTCTGCTGACCCGGGTCAGGACCGTGGCCCAGTTCTGTCCCTGTAGCTCCCCGCAGCGTTAACTTCTGCGGTTTCAGGATGTGAGAGCAGTTTTTGACGCAGCTAATGAAATGTTCTGACCCGGTTTATAAACTGGGTCCAGGTGGTTCCTTACAGTCCTGACAGAGTGGTGGGGTGATGAATAATAAGCCACTCGAAGGACACGAGAACATTTAACGGGTCAGTACTTGCCGGTCATGAACGGGTTTCACAGCTCAGCGCCTCGTCAGGAGGCTCTGAGCGGACAGTGAGCAGGAAGTGTTTTCATCCTTATCAGCAGGACGACCTCGCCTCTTCCACTCGGAGGCTTCAGGTGTCTGCGGGCTGTTCTGACACAAAACAAAGAACTGACCCCACACACTTCAACACTTAACATCTGCTGTGACAACAAAAAGGTTCTCTCGTGTCATCAGGACCAGTTTCTTTAAGTGAGAAACGTTTCGTCCTCCATCCAGAGGACTTCATCAGTCTGCGGCCTGCCAACCAGACCTGCCCCACAGGTAGACTTCACTGCTGTTTCAAGACGACCAAGCTGACTCCCGCTTGAAACGCACCTGTACCTGTGCAGATCTTACTTACTCACCTTCGAATCCAGTTCAAAATACTCATGTATGTCTACAAATCACTGAACAGTGTTTCTCTCCCCCCCCCCCCCCCCCCATCTCTGATCTGCTACAACCGTATGTCCCACCACGCTCCCTGAGGTCAGCGGACCAGTTGCTCCTCACAGTTCCAGGAACTCGTCTTAAGCGCAGAGGTGACAGGACCTTCTCTGTAGCAGGACCAAGACTTTGGAACGAGTTACCTCTGCTTGTCAGACAGGCCCCCTCCCTCTCGGTTTTCAAGTCCTGTTTAAAAACTCACTACTATTCAGCAGCTTTCAACACCAGATGATCTGTGTTTGATCCTGTATGCTCCACACTGGTTTGTCGTCATTATCTGCATAGTTTTTATGTCTATATTCTGATTTACCTCATTTTGTATTTTGCTTTGTGTGTTACCTGTTGTTCTGTCTGTACAGCACTTTGGTTGGCCTTGTAGCTGTTTTAAGTGCTTTATAAATAAAATGGTATGGTATCTTTTCTGAACCTCCTCCTTCTTCCTGCCTGACGAGGAAAAGTTGGCTCTTGGTGTTTTAGTTGGGCCCGTTTGGACTTCAGCTGGTACCGCTCCGCTCTGACCTGTTGTTTCCTGTGTTGCAGCTTTCCGAGAGCCAGCCCGGCTTTGAAGATGAGAACATGGTCCCAGTACTAACGTCCAGAAAAGCTTCAGAACTCCCAGTTAATGAAGTAGTGTGTGTCCTGCAGGTACGTGTCACCTCAGCTCCTCAGAGACTAATACCTGTCTGAACAGGTGGAACACGCTCAGGAACCTGCCCTTAATTAACTAGAACCTTCTACAGGTGAGCAGGTGTCAGCTCAGGTGGTCCACCTGTTCATGATGTTCTCCTGTTCGGAGGGGTCCTCCTGTTCAGGTGGTTTTTCTGGGTGGAGCTTTAGACCAACCGTTATGGTGTCACCTGCGTTTCCAGGCTGACCTGCAGCGGGGTCTAACCCAGGAGGAGGTGGACCACAGGAGAACGTACCACGGCTGGAACGAGTTCGACATCAGTGAGGACGAGCCACTATGGAAGAAGTACATCTCCCAGGTAACCAGGTTCTTCATCTTGTTCTCAGTGGGGGGGGATGATGATGATGGATCTCAGTTCTGTTCTCAGGCAGGAAGTTCTGTGTTTTGGTTCTTAAACACCACAGTTCTTCCTCTTTGATGGATCCATATCTGGATTGATTTGGTCTGAAGATCCCTCAGTATTTTGGTTTTGATGTGGAGACGAGATGTTTTCTTTGTTCAGATACTGATCACCTTTGGACCATTCCTTGGACCAACACTGTTGTAACGTGTCATGTTAAAATGATCACATGATCATTTTATCAGTAATGCAGTAATCCATCCACATCCTGATGTCCCCAGCATTCAGCCACTGGTTGGAGGTCAGGTGTTTGTTGGAGGTCAGGTGTTTGTTGGAGGTCAGGTGTTTGTTGGAGGTCAGGTGTTTGTTTGAGGTCAGGCGTTGGTTGGAGGTCAGGCGTTGGTTGGAGGTCAGGCGTTGGTTGGAGGTCAGGCGTTGGTTGGAGGTCAGGCGTTGGTTGGAGGTCAGGCGTTGGTTGGAG